TCTAAATATTTTTAAATATTCTTAAAAATTCTCAAATATTCTTAAATATTCTTAAGTAATTTTGAATATTCTCAAATGTTCCTAAATATTCTTAAACGAAATAAAATTATGACAGCGGACGAAAGAATACTTAATCAAAATTAGCTGATCGATTTTTGATTAAAAACAGTGGATTCTATTATTCGATAAATAGAATTATGTCAGGAGTGTAGGAAAAGCGGAAAGATTGAATTATATTCTGTAATATAATTTGTTGTACAGAGTATAACGAAGTTTAAAAATTGGGTCACTATGATGCATGGCTAACCTAAAGCAAGTGATACTGATGTGAAACTGACGATCAGAGTGAGCTTTTAGAAACAAATACGTATTAGCATAGCCGAACGCTTTAATTGAACTACTGAAATCGATAATGAAATGAAATTAAAGGTTCTGTTCGTCATAATAAAAGAACTGAATTTAAAAGTTAATGAAAATACTTTACGAAACACTTTATTCTAATTGCAAACCGTATTTTATGGTATAAAAACTCGTACATCGTGCTATAAATTTTTTATACACGATACGATACATTTTTTAACAGATTGGAAAAAGTAAATTACAAATTAAAAGTTTCGAATGAAAAATTAAGCGCTGAACGCTGACATACGCTTACATAAAGTTATACAAGAAGGTTATTATCCTGCATTCGGGTATAAAGCTAATGCTTCAGAAACTGTTAAGGGAAGCGAAAGATTTTTCTTAATTTAATGGTTCGCCGAGCTTTCGTAACTTTATTGGGTTTCACAAGGAGGAAAGAGGCACCTGTATCTCTTTGTTAAATGAGACGGCACGTCAATTTTTGTGTCTTATAATAGTTTACTTTGTTAGAACTTATGGTAATAAATTAGGAAACATTATTTGAATTATAAATCTTCTTTATTTTTGATACGCGAGGAAGGCACGTCGCTACGCAATTAATAAAACAAACATCGACAAGACGCTGAGAAACAAAACATATCAGCGTCACCCATACTAAACAGATGGCTACTATGTTCCCATGTGTGTACACAGACACACGCTCATTTCTCCTAATAATCCGACATACTTAAAATGAAAACATTATTGTTAATCTTGAATAACGAAATATTTAAGAAAATCCAATTTTTCCTTGAAGAACGTTAAATGATAAATTAGACTCTTTACACCAAGTGTTAAATTATAAACGATAAACAGGCATGAACTATAATTGTTACATGGAAAAATTTAAGTAACCACTTCACTGACACAGAAAAAAGAAAAGCGTAAAATAGCAGAAGAAAATACAACTGCGAGACAATACTTACCAGCTTTTGAGGTGACGCCAGTAAAACATAAAGACACGCAAAGCAGGCAACAGAGACAGGAGATCATTGTCTTTGCCTGAAACAAACAAACCTCGATAAATCTTCGGTGTAGAAAGGCGTTTTAATAACAGTACAGAATATTCCTAAAGCTTGAATTGTATAAAACGGTGATTTGTATGAATAATAGTATAACATAAATGACATTTAACTGCATATTAAATTAATCGCAATTGAAGAAACGAAACTACTTGTATAAATAGTACTTTTTGAGCAGCATTATATCGTTTAATGAAAAAATAATTAATTTCCATTGCACAGGTTTTACACGAACTCATAAGTTAACAGGAAAAGTAATACCGAACACTTTAGATGTCTGCTGAGCAGAAGTTATAATATTAACCAAACGCTGCGTTAACTTTAGTACCAACGGAATAACCGACTATCCCAAAGGATCTTAAGCGCTTATAAGTTTCGAGATATTTTCTAAATCCAAAGTGTTTGAACTTACTCGGAACTTTTCAGCAAGACAAACGAGAAGCGGTTATAATTGCAGAGTAAATATAATCGACGGAACGGCGATTAAATTCTGCGCACGCGAGGGCGTCGAGATGAATATTCTTATCGAAAGGTGTACATTATTATTGGAATGAAGGGAAAAAACAGCCGTTGGAATTTCAAAAGGAGAAAGAACGAGGGGCTGTGGATACATCTATTACAATTGCGGCCTCGCCCACGAATTATGTATACCTATGTTGTACGGGTCTGGTAACAACGGTTTGAAAAACCATAAGTATTTTCGCGCGAAGCCTTGATAAATATAGACTCCCGTGTGTAGCAGATACAGTACGCGGCTAAGGAATACTTAATGAGGTTGAAACACGCCGGACACATCCCCTATCTACCTCACGTTTCCACGGAGAATTTCACGAAGAACAGGATCAATAGGGAAGTAGTACTTGGGCTATGTGGAGTCTATGCTAATGCAGCATTGATACACGGTATGTAATAAGGATGTGTTAGCAAGGTAAATAAAAATGCCGGACAAAGGGAAACAATGCTATCGGCCCTATGTGATCTTCATCCGCTTATATTCGGTCCTGAGGCGTTTCTCATCAACCTGTGTACACACCGCAATCCTCCTGTTCGCCGTGTTATTGATAATAGCTAGCACTTTGCACCCCGTATGTTTCTCTTACTCGCTCACCCACTCATTCACCGACTCACACATTCAGTCACTCTCCCAGCCACTCTTTCTCTCTCTCTCTATCCTCCTTCTCCTTCACTCACTTACTCACCCATTCACTCACTCACCCACTCATTCACTCACCTACTCACTCTCTCACTTATTCAGTCATTCTCTATCCTTCTCACTCACTCATTCGCTCACCCACTCATTCACTCACCCACTCACACACTCACTCACTCTCTCACTCATTCAGTCACCCTCTTTCTCTCTCACCCACTCACTCACTCACTTACTCTCTCACTCATTCAGTCACTCTTTTTCTCTCTGTCCTTCTTTCTCACTCACTCACCCACTCATTCACTCACCCAATCACTCACTCACCTACTCGCTCTCTATCCTTCTCACCCACTCATTCGCTCACCCACTCATTCGCTCACCCTCTCTTTCGCTCACCCACTCAATCGCTCACCCTCTCTTTCGCTCACCCACTCAATCGCTCACCCACTCATTCGCTCACCCACTCACTCACTCTCTATCCTTCTCACCCACTCATTCGCTCACCCACTCATTCGCTCACCCTCTCTTTCGCTCACCCACTCATTCGCTCACCCACTCACTCACTCACTCACTCAGTCACTCTTTTCCCCTCTATCCTTCTTTCTCACCCACTCATTCGTTCACCTAATCACTCACTCACCCACTCACTCACTCCTTCACTTATCCAGTCACTTTCTTTCTCCCTATTCTTTTCTCTTACTCACTCGCTCACTCATTCACGTACTCGCTCAGTGACTCATTCACCCACTTACTCACCCACTCACTCACCCTTTCCCTCTCTCTCTTCTTCTCCTCTTCCTTTTTTAAAATTTTTTCTACTGTAATCCATGGAATCGAATAGGCGAGAAAGCCGTGTCCCGTAATACAATTTAAATATTGCCACGGTACTATCAGGTGGTACGCGGTAGCAGATGGCGCCGGAGAATTAATACGCTTACGGAACCATTGAATCAAGAGGTTATAGCGTAACGTGTTCCACTGATTAGATTGGTATCCAGTTTATAGCCTTGTTTATTGTTTCTATAATACTACATCGCCATATATAGAAGTTTATCATCGCCGGTGAGCAAATTGAAAATCACCGGAAGAACTATCTTATATTTCCGTAATCCGATACGTTTCACAAATTCTCCCTGATCTTTCGAAGAAAGAAAAGATTTACCGTGGAGTAACGTCAGTTTCAAGCACGGAAAGCAACCGAGGAAGATAGAAAAAAAATTGGGGTAACCCCTTCCTCTGAATTCTCTGATTAATAGCTCCTAATAAATTTTCACAGTCTCGGTATCTTCTATCTTCGTCGTCCGTTACTCTTTCTCTCATTCGGTCAGAACACACGAGCGCTTGCAGGAGGTGATATAATAATTCATTTTCTGTGTACATGAAGTAACTACAGTCGTGATAAACCTGCTAAATATTTGGAATACGCGATACTGTTACTTGCTACTAAATTAAATTTCCGGCGTTAATAATCATTTTGAAAACAGCAAGCTTTAAATAACGTTCAATACGAACAAAATTTTGGGCAAATTTTTGTCTGCGATAAAATACCGATGAAACAAATTGGTCGTAAAAAATACTTTTCTTTCGAGGTATTTCTTCTTCGAATGAAAATTGATATTTACATTAAAATTACAAATTTTATTCTTTATTACACAGTTTCACTTTCATTCGCTGTGTTCATTTTTTCCTTTAACAAAGACGATACTACCATGACCTTCCCAATAAAATAGTTCTTGTTCTAATAATCACGAAAACTGTATTGTATACGTTTATGAAGTATAAAAAATAGGTAAGAGATTTAGGGTAATAAAAGCAGAATTTTAAAATCCCGGGTAATCCAAGCATTACTCCATCGTAACTGTTCTATCCAATTTTCACGCTCTATAATCACGCTTTATATGTAAATACCCGCAGTTTATTTTCAATTTTTTTCACCGAACCAATAATACCTCGAGATTGATTTTTCCTGCATAGTTTTTTTTAAAACCATCCAAGCTACAAATTTTTTTTAAATACAATGACAGAGAAATGTGTTAGCCTGGGATCTACATATCTCTCGAAACCATATTTCAGAAAATACACATCTACAGTCACCGCTTAGTCTTCTTTAAAACAATTGAAGTCAAAAAGTTTCTGAATACTGTGACAGAAATTTTTCAGGAAAAGATGTTAAATTCTTTCTGAAATAAGCTTTAGAGGCGCACACTCCTGAAGGAAAGCCATTGAATTCACAAATTTTCCAAAATATAACGACAGACATTTTGCAGGAAAAGGTGTTAGCCTAGGATATCTCTTCTCTCTTTTCTGAAATAAAGTTTAGAGGCCACTCTCCCGAAGAAAAGGACCTACGCAGTCTCTGCCTCGAAATTGTTTAAACCAAAAAACTTTCCAAACGCGATAACAGACATTCTACAAGAGAAGATCTTAGTTTAGCGTCTACACATCTCTTTCCTGAAATAAGGTTCAAAGACACGCTCTCCCGAAGAGAAGGATCTACATACATACACAGTCTTTGCCTACTCTTCTTTAGGATCAATAGAGACACAAATTGTTCCAAACACAACGACAGACATTACGCATAAAATGATACCAGCCTAGGGTCCACGTTAACCTTAACTCGTGATTTATTTCATCCTACTACGGAACAGATCGCGAGTGATTAGAGCAGCTTCACAAAGGCGCATTTGCCTTCTTTCCCCTCCTCGTTCGATTGTAAGATGTGGTAATTGACGTAACGAGCGGCAGTAGGTCCCCATTCAACCAGTAAGATAAGTAGAGGCATGAATATGTTTCAGCCTTGTACGCGCACTAAAGAGTGGCTTACGATAATTTCCCGGCCCTTCCTCTGTTTTCTCCTGATTTTCTTGCCAACGAAGAATACCTCGGTTAACTAGACACTTTCCTAGACTTTTCTACACGGTGCATATACCGTCGAAATCTGTTTAGCTCTTCGGAATGGAAGCACACGCCAACTATGCGCCCGTAATTTCCAAGAATCGCGTCGTTAAAATCATTGCGGATGCCGGTAACGATTGATGAACGAGGCAGGTTATGATTTAGTAGCGCATAAACATTACCGCGAAGCATGTTATTAACATGATGAGAATACGTGTGCAGGAACAGGATACAAGTATTTTGCGAAGCGTGATGGAAAGTTGAGAGAGAATATTTCTTTCGATGGAACAGCAACTTTAGGTTAACTCGAGAACTCTGATTTGCCGGGTGCTTCCGTGTTCTACTTATGCTTGACAATAAAACAACGTGCATCGGTCTGCTTCGAAATTTACTACCCCGTCTGCCGGAAAATTCACGTCGAGTTCGTAGGCTGGCTTCGATTAATTAGAATTTTACACGTGTGTGTTCGTTGGTTCCTCTTTCTTTCCTCTTATGTAAATGTTGCGCTTCGATTATCTCGAACGTTTTTCGCAGAAATCAGCTCGTAATACGTTTATTACGAGATCGCGAATAAAAATCTTTATGAAATGGAATTTTAGATTGTTTCGTTTTGTTCACTAGGTAAATGAAAATTTATTTAAACTGTGCTTCGGCCCTTTTGCAGGCAACCAAATTGTTCACGGTTGCTAGACTGATTTAATATTTGAACTTGTCTGCGTACATTTTGAAAATTTTTTAAACGTCCAAAATGTTTACGATACTTTCGCAAGAACGTAAAGGATTGTTAAAGGAAAATGTAGAGAGGAGTATACACAAGGGTTAAATCATCGTGATAAACATATTATCTGAGTCAGACGTGGAATTATTTATTTGTTGGTTTGTGCTGACACTGTTATCTCGAAAATTACAGAAAGATAGAAGATTCTGTT